TTATTTTGTGAGATTCCTTTTGGATTTATCTCACTAATTTTTGCAGGTTAATAATATTTAATTTGGAACATTTTATTAATCTCCAATTGTATACATGTTGTCAAAATTAGGCTTTGAGACAATTTAGGAAACCTTGTGTTTTGTTCCAAGATTTAAGGAGATCTTTCTGCACAAATTGGTGCATACCTCAGCTTATGCAACAAGAAATATTTGGGTGAATATTCAAGGTCCATGGATCACTGAGGAGTATTTAAAGAAATTACATAGACTTAATTTCATTAAGAAATTTGTAAAAAAAATAAGGGAAAGTCTATTTTTATTAGTCTTAGGGTTTGAGGGTTCTTCAAGGGAGTTTTTGTTTTTGCACATCCTCATGTATCTTTTGATACATTTGAGTTGACTGATTATTACTTGTTTATTGAGTTATTGTTCTCCTATAAGCTTTTAAGCAAAGAGTTGAGTATTGTTCTTAGTGAAGCTTTTAAGCAAACTAAGTATTGTTTATTGGAAGATTAATATTCCTTTTTAGTTTCTTGAGACATTTCCTGGGATTGGAATTTTTTGATATCACTGCGATGATTGAGAGTGAGAGGGGTTCTCATATATAGGAGTTTCCTAGGTAAAAATTACATTGGGTAGGGACTAAGTGAGAAGTTATAAACTGGGACTGTTTAGGCTTAGAATTAATATTACTGCTAGTGGATTTCCTTCCTGGCTTGGTAGCCCCCAGAGTAGGTGAGTTTCACTGAACTGGGTTAATAATTTTGTGTGATCTTTTACCTTTCTGCACTTTTAAATTTTGTATAGTCTTATTTTGCTAAAAGTTTATGTCAGCCAATAGATGTTGTAACATGTTACTTGACATTGTGATTGTGTGTTGAGACATCAGTCTTGACATTCATATTGTGTGTGCCAGAATTTCATATTCTGATTTGGAGATAGAAAGTGACGTCAAGGAGCACCAGGGGAGTGATTTTGGGAGCATTAGAAGCCATCGGAGGCTAGTTTATTCAAGGGATTTTTATGCAAACTTCATAATCTATCTTGGTAATTTATTGTTATATATGAGTAGCTAATCTACTCTAAATTAGGTTTTATGAGATAAACTTGTATTGAACTTGTTGGGACATATGTTTAATTTGATTTATACGAATAATTGAAATTATATTTCTATTTAATTGTCTATTGTGCTTAATGTTTTTTATTTGAGATACTTTATTAATTTGATCTTGGGCGAATAAGGAATACTGACCATTGATCTATGTGTTGGAACTAGGAAAATTATTGTATTTGCGCTGGTTGAATAGGAATAGGAGACCTCTACTAGTGACATTTTAATTAACGTAACATTACATTGCCTAACTTCACTTATGCCAGTTGAATATGAATATGACACCTCTAGAAGAAATTAGTAAGTTATACACCAAGGAATTGGGTATAGTGGCCTTGTTAATTCGTCGTGGGAATATAATGATTTTACCATTCATATAATGCATTAAACATCAACGAAGTATAATACAAGGGATTCAAGTAAAACCTAATCGCTTTCTCGTTATTAAAATTAGAATCAATTTAAGTTTGTTTTCGCCGCACCATCTGAAATCCCCCAATTATTATTTTTCATTCGCGTAATTTGAACCTTGTTAAATTTTAATCCCTATGGAGACGATATATTTTTATATTACTTAGACACTATCAACACACTTTCCTAGAAGTCATCATACGTGCAATTTAATGAAGAGGAAAATGAAACAGAACTTAGGTGTGTAGTTAACTTGGTCGATGGAATCAGAGAAATCGCTGCAAAATAGAGGGTTGCCTGAAGATACAATTCAAAGGTGGTCCCAAGGTAAATACAAGAAAGTGACATTTTACTTAAATGGGTGGTCGCACCTACTCGGTTGGGATAGTTTCTACCTAACTAGGAAGGTCCTTATCGAATATATCATAAGCTACTGCACAACACCTACAAGCTTGAAGAATTGGACATAACACTTATCCCAAGAACCTGGAACTCAATTAATTTGAGATGATATTAGAATTAATTATTTAATGTTTCCTTCGCCTTATCCCACCAATGTATAAATCCTTTCAAATATTTAGTTTTCAAGTATGAAAGATAGGGTCACACTTTTCCCCCCCTGCAAGAACTAGTTTTTTTTTAATGAGACGCCTTGTCTTCTTAACTATCTGATGTTATGGTCAATTGTATGTTGAACCTTCAATGAATTATCTTGTCTCCTATAAGCAAATTGTATGTTAGACCTTGAACGAAAGAACCTAGTTGCCTATAAGAAAATTGTATGTTGGAGCTTTAATGAAGGTTCATTGTCGCCTATAAGGCAATTGTATGTTGGACCTTCTATGAAGGATCATTTCCACCTATAAGACAATTGTATATTGGACCTTCAATGAAGGATTACCACATATAAGATAATTGTATGTTGGACCTTCAACGAAGGATCCTTGTCGCCTATAAGGTAATTATATGTAGGACCTTCAATAAAGGATACTTGTCAATAGGTTCTTAAAATTGGTATATATTTTGCCTCTATAAGAGTAAAACTCTTGTCTGTAAAAATAGTAGAGTTAACCAATATCAACATATAAGTTGTTGCATCATAGTCAAACTGATCAAGACCTCGACGACATTCAAATAAAGTATGTTACCACTTTAATATGAAATGTGAACACCTACCAAAAACCTCTCGTGTAGCCCTCTCTATGTTCACTCCTACAAGATCAGCAGCAAAAGCAACAACACCGTCTTCTTTGATACCTAGTGAAATATTCTCTTGGCATATGAAAGGACATCTCTCAATAAAAGAAGATACTCAGTTGATATCAATCATCTTTAAACTGGTTCTCAGGAGTGAAGATAGACCATAGTCATTCAACCATCTATCTATCACTGGTTGGAAATATTATGGAACTCGCTCTATCAGTTTACTCCCATGAGTTGCAATCTTGAGTTCTTTCTTCGATTCTCGCTCCTAAAAACAATCTAAAGTATAAGTTATAAAATATAAAGAATAATTAAAATTAAATATTATTTAACCTAATAAAAAAAGAATTACTTACCACTATGTACCATAAGTGGCGAACAACATGTTGCTTATACCGTACTAGAAAAAACGTGTCATACAACCCTCTTAGAAAATGATGTCATTGCTTCGTAGGTTTACCTTCATGCTCTTGTTGTCATTCATCGCCTATTTAACTTGTAATTCTCTTCGTCATAGACCTCCACACAAAATAACCTTAATGTTGCTTCATCGGCTACGCACCAAAAAATTAACATTCCCAAAATTCATATATTAAAGACATTCGGTCAAGTGAAATTGACATCAAATGTCTTTAGTATAAGAGTTTCAGTCTTTAATTTTTTTTGAAAATGGATCGAATAACATGTATCTAAATTCTCCTATGAACAATATTAAAAAATGATTAGATCAAACAACTTACTAGTATTTAGTAAAAAAAAAAAACTTACTAGTAAGACCTCTAATACTAATATTTGGACCTAACAACTTCAATACAAGATCTCAAAAAATTTGGATGGCCCGTGCAACTTTAATGCAAGACCTCATGTAGTCAAACTTTCTTTTATTTCTCTTAACTCTCAATAAATAGCCAGAAAACTTCAAAGCAATATGCAGAGAAAAAATGAAATTTTTCAAATGCATACTATTGATTAGGGATGTTCGCGGTACGTTTTGGACGGTTTTAAAGCAAAAATCATTTGAACCGCAAGAGAAAAAACATACGGTTTAGTTTGGTTCGGTTGACTTTTAAAAATAAATCTAAACCAAACCAAACCAAACTAATGCGGTTTGAATTGATTCGGTTGGTTCGGCTTTTTTAAAAAAAAAATATTAAGCCATACATACAACTATAGAGGGAAATATAATTTTGCGTTTAATTGTTCATACATTACCATAAAAAAATTTATAATTATCAAAATAAGTTTATAATTTGATACATAAAATTATGTATTATAGTTTTATCTAAATCTAAAGAATGATATAGACAAGATTGCATTCTTAAATAAATATTATACAAAGAATACGATAAAATATATTTTGTGAAAATAGTATTTATAAATGAATAATATTTTATTTTTTTATGATTTGTAAATTAAAATAAATATAATACAAAGTATGATAAAATATACACATAATACATGTTGATTTCTCTAAAGAATTAAAGAAATATATATTGGTTAGTAAGATTTTATAACATAATGCGATTTTGTTTGGTTTGATTCGACTTGTAAAATACAAATCGCAAACCGAACCGAACCGCGCGGTTCTGTGAGAAAATGACTCAAACACATCCGAACCAAATACGATTTTTTGCAGTTTCAGTTTGGTTCGATTCGGTTTTGCGGTTTTCTATTGGGCCGATTTGGTTTTGAACTTCCTTACTATTGATACAAGAGTATAATAATTAACTTGTGTAAAACTTAAGGGTGGAAAGATAATTATTGGAGTATAAGGTAAAATTTCGAAGATTTAACTTATTACCCTCTCATAATTTGATAATTCTTAAACTGCTCATGGACAAATTTGAGTTAAATCGTGTGAACGAAATTTCTGACAATTCATTCAAAATTTCCAGTAAAAAAATTTCTAATAGTTCATTTAAAATTTTTGACAACGTACATTAAAATTTTTTTTGTAAGAAATACAAGAGTTTTTATTTAAAATTTCAAAATTTTCGATATTTTTCAAATTTTTCAGTATAGTTTTGAAATTTCTAATAAAAACTCATAACTTTTGAAAATCAATAATTTTAAACAATAGTATAATAATAAAAACATGTAATATGGGGTATAAGGTATAAGTGAGGGGATGGCGAGTTAATTCTTCTAAAATTTAACGTTGATGAGCCCACTTATCAGGCCCACCTTGTTCTGTGTATAGTTTTTCGAGTATATATGATGATTTTCAAAATCGTTACTCAGTTTCAGCGCGCGAACGAGAGCGATCTTAGTCGGAATGGAGTTTTCTTCGGTTCAGAAACTTTGCTTACACGTGAGCTTCTTCTTCTTGTTAATCTCTTCACAGAGAAAAATCTTCACATCTTTTTATTATTTTCCAACAACTTTCTCGTTGATTCAGTTATGTGAATTTGTTCTTACATTTCATGCTAGTTTCATCTTCGCTTAACAGCAAGATCTATTCAATTTTGGTTTCTCTGATTTTCCAACTTGTTACATATATGATTCCGTTATGCAATTGCAGTTAATTTCTTCAGCATATCAGAGATGCCGATTATCCGAACAGATTTGCAGACTCTCAGTTGGTCTCACTTGCTCTTCATCTTCCGATCCTTCTCTTAAAATTTCTAGTAATCCTCTATCCTCGCACGCTAATTAACGTTTCTGCGTTGAATTTCTTAATTGGATCGATTCTTTACAACTATCATAGCATTATAATATAGTATTGAGACTAAATTTAGATCTTGTTATTTGGTATAATTTCAATTTTAGGGAAATACTTCCTATTGGTAATGTTAGAGGAATTTTCATGTTCAATTTTAGTGTCATGCTTTCTATATGTATGTTACAGGAATTTTCGCCTTCAATTTTAGGGAAATGATTTTTGTCAGTAATTACTATTTTTATTACTCTAGCAATTTCTGTTATAAGAGTTATGCTTTGTTTTATAATAACGTTTAATTTTCTTGTTACAGTATCTGATACAGGCTTAGGAAGCAGCTTAGTGGAATTTCAAGAAATGAGGTTTTCTTTCGCAAATGTTGCTGACAATTGGGGTAGATGAATGAACAATTCATGATTATCATCAGAGTTGATATTTCCCACTCCGTTGATTTGCATTTTGTAGATGATTATTAATCGACGATTTTTATTTTGTGAAGCAGATGGAATGCTTTCTATCAAAACCACCAGTAAGTTCAATGTTCTCGTGTAGTTGTGATTTGATCTCTCATTGAACATATGCATATTGATATCCTAAAGGGCACAAATTTAAACAGAGAAACCATTATTCTTGTATCATGATAACTCAATTGCTCTTGCTCATAATGTGGGGGGTAGTGTATGGAGGAAAATGTTCTTAGCATATTATTTTAATGGTTAATGATTGGTACTTTTGATATGCACTCAGTTTTCATTAACCTTGTGGAAATCTGACAAACCGCATTTGTTTTACTAAGTATTTCCTTGGTGGCATAATTATTTATGCTACTTCATGGCTTAAGAGTAAAGTAGATTTCAACTAGTATTGAATATGTTGCTATGTTAGCTTAGTTGTTGTCACAATTCTAATTGCAGTCTATGGAAATGGTAGGTATCAGTGATAGTGAGATACATAATTATCAGATAAATCTGAAAGAAAGTGGTTCCTCCAGAATAACTAAACTACCTTCAGATGCAAAAAATGGTGCAAAATTCAGGCACGCAAGTTACTTGAACTTCATTGATTTAGGACTGATTTGCTTGCCAAGTTTCTTTCTAAAAGTGGGTGGTCGACTTATTTTGCAGTGGTAGCGAAGTTTGCCTTTCTACTATTGTTAACCCTGATCTCTTGCTGGCTGAAATTCATAACCTCCTAGAGAAGGTATGTTGGCTGCATTGTTTACTTGGTCGAATCTTTTTTTTTTTGTTGGAAAAACAATACTTTTGAATTTTGGTGTGATGATATTTTTAATCTACATCTGCTTGATTAAATGGCTTATTTATCAGGGTGCCTTGGTCATCCAGAAGTTCTAGGGTAATAACTATCATTTCTTATATCCTCATGGAAAAATTTTAAGCATGAGCCAACATTGAAAACTGGCAAAATAAGAAATTGTATGGTTAAAATAAGAAATTAAAGAACAAAAATGATGTTATGATACACATTCATAAGCACAAACATGGTGGTAGCTTTATCAAGAATATATGTGCCAAGTTTGCGGAAACTTTTCTAGTTCTTTAATGCATTTCAATATTGAAGTTTTATTGTTCGAAGGATTTTACTGAAGTTCTAACATACTCCCTCCGTAACGAATTATAAGCAAATTTGACTTTTTTTGGTACATTTGACAATTAATGTATGTAGTCCATATGGACTACATACATTAATTGTCAAATGTAACAAAAAAGTCAATTTTGTTTATAATTCGTTACAAAGGGAGTAGCATTGTTTATCTGCAAAACATTCTTCAAATTCCATATTCTCTGTGTTTATTTTTATTATTTGTTGATTTTTGCAGATGTTAATTCTAAATATTCCTGTAAGTTGAACTGTCATTACAGCAGAGTTCTCTGAAGCTCTACATTCTTTCAAACAAACATAATTTGCATAATGTGAATGGTGCAGCTGGAGTGCATTTCCTTCCATCTCATGTGCTAACAACAATTCACAATTCTACCAAATTCACAATTCACAATTCAAATTTACGCTAAACATTGATTGAGATTCTAACACAGTTTTTACGATTTAATTTGACTTTCTATCCAGAATGTAGCAATTCAATTAGTAGCAGAAGATAGCGATGTACCTGAATCACGATATGAAGAGGTCTTTCTTGCAAATACGTGCGAGCAGTTGCCAATCTCAACATCAAGTCTTGAACATCTTAAATCAGGCCTCGAAGACTATGTACTTAAGCATGGAAATAACTTAAGTGACCACTGTACCTCTTGCTTCACAAGAAGGTACATTTGCAATCTCACGTCGGCACCATGTGTATCATTTAGAAACATATTGTTTTTGTTCTAGAATCAGTAGTTTGGTTGCTTCTCAAAGGTTAGTCACTCAGGATTTAGGAAGATGTCTTTTCTACTTTAATATACTTCAAATATGATTGATTATTTGTTGTCAAAATCCTATGGTTCCTCTGATCTGTGATTATTGTTGAACAATAAAATTCCCTGTTTACAACTCTATGGGCAGTATAATGCATAGTAGTTCTCAGTTTTTTCTGAAGTGTCACAGTCAGCTACATAGAAGAACCCTTAACATATCATATGAGCCAGACAATATTTGATATCTGATATTCACAACTGTTGATCACATTTACATGTGATTCATAACATGTTATTATAGGGCCTCGAGAGTCTCAAGTTATAGCACTAAAAGATTTTAAATTGCCTACTATTTGAACTTTTCTTAGGGAGGAGGTCAAAGTTGGCAGTGGAGTGGCTTGCAGCAGTGAAAACCGTCTACACACTGAACTGGTGATGGAAGCGGTCTTAGCAATAAGTAATATATCAACTCAAAACACTACGTGCTTCAGAGAATACGGTGACAAAACAGAGGTCCCTGAACTAGTCCCTTGATTTTTTTTGTTTTAGTTTGTTTTGTTGTATTAACTTTACTTATCTGCTAATTGGTTTGGATGATAACAATTACCAATATCAGGTTTTGTATTTCAAAGACTTTTCACCAAGCACAATGTCTCCTTCATCTATGAAGGCATTGAAAAGCATTGACTGGAAAAGATATGGTTTGCATTTAGGGCGTATAGTAGAGCAAGATGGCATAGCATTACTAGAATGGGAAAACCTCCCTACTGATACTCACATTGATATTGTCCTCCACTCATATCTAAAACAATATCCAACATCTGAGACAGCTAAACATATAGTATGTTTTTATTTATTTTCATTTCTGTCTGAGTTTCTTGATGCTTTGTTGCAAGACTTTTCTTTGGATTTTCTTTTTCTATTATGTCTATATTATTAACTAAATAAGTGACGGTCTGACAGTTCTTACTCAAAATTTTGGGAATCAAGTGTATCGTAAGAGATTTTCCTTTTATATTGGCAGATAACCTTTTAGTGATAAAATTACAATTTATGTACTTTCTATGTCAAAAGTAATAAACATGCTAGTCAAAATAACATACTTGCTTCCCTACATGAATATATGAGTATGATATGACCATCTGCATTGTGTATTAAAATTTCTTGCTGTTCTGTATGTGAATTTCACTTCCTTGACGTAATTGTAAGACCGGGATACCTGCGCCAAGGAAAAGGTCTCAAATTGATAGAAGCCTTGTTAAAAGAGCTATTAAATTTTCTCTGGATGACTTGAAGGCTAAGCATTTTGGGGATTTTCTTAGTTCGCGTGCCCTCCAGGTAAACTCATATCTAATTATCTATAGTTTTCCCTCACATTTGTGATCTGTAGGCCCTTGCGCCGAGGTTTGTACACAATAGAACCTCCCTCTGCAAGGGAAGCCGCCATTCCTTTTCATATATAGTGTGCATGCACTATCACATTTTCTGAATCGATCAGATGATTCAGATACATCTTTGCATATGAGTAACTCGGTTGTAAGATGGTTTTGCATTTTTTCTGAATTTTCTCGTTGGATTCATTCAATTTATTATAATGGTATCACACTTACAGATTCGCAATTATGCCCCTGATCTTGCTCAAACAATTGCTGGACTGATCTTCTCTTCCAGTGACTTAAATTTTCAGAGAGAATGTTTTTCACTACTTGGATTACAGTCTCAAGATGTTGGAACTGAAATCATGGAAAACAGTATCATGGAAAAAATTGTTTCAGTTATAGAGATGAACGACAAGGATCCTGACAAATCTAAAGAAATCGCGCCTTTCCTTTTCGAGGAGGATGATCATATCCAGGAGGAACTGGAAGTAGAGTTTCAAGAAAACTATTTAAGCCCCTTGGACCTGGACATCAATATGTTTTAATACTACTTTTTATACGTCCATATTTCAAATTCATGTGGCATAACAAATGTGGCCATTGTATGGATGCTGCCAATACCTGATGTCCCTGTGGATATGAATGTTTCCATGGACTGATTATTTTGACCCGGTTCATATTCTTGTCTTTTGCTTTGATTGTCACGCCAGGCGCTAGTTCAGTAAGCCGGCTCGAGGGGTCCGGTTCATACTCTCTCTTTTTCACTCGTGTCCCTTAACACCAAAACACAATCTTCAGGACCGTTTAAGTTCATATTATAAATAGGGTTAAATATGTCAGGGGTCCTCGCAATATTTTCCGTCCTTATATTAAATAAACTTCGGCTATTTTGTTACTTTGTCTAGTTTATATGAATCATACCCTTATAGTCAAGTAAAAAATCCATACCCCACCATGGTGATTTCAAAGCTTCTCTAGCAGCATCTTTAGCTTCTACTTTCCGTCCAACCTTTATATAAAGTTGATAGCAGTAAGTTCAGATTTCTCATTTTAAACAAATCCAAGATGTACTCGAATTAAAATTGTTCACAACCAACCTCAACATAACCTCAGCATTAAACACAAAAGGCCGAGCAAATCCAGGAAAATGCTCCTTCTTTGTATAAAATTCCCCCGTTACTAAAGCTGAAACCTTCCACGCACAGATATAGTCAATATGTATCAGTTCATTAGTGACTAACTCTTGGGGAACAAATTAAATTTCAAAAGATCTTATAATACCGGATCTCCTTCCTCAAAATGTCGATCACTTTGCGCAACCTAAAAACATATTTGGTTCATGCAATGATTGATTGTGAAAGTGGATGATACATGTTTGCTAATTTATGAATACCTCTTTTAGAAGATAGCCATCTAAGTTAGAAATTCCAGACTCTGCAAAATCACCCTTTCTATAAAGCTTTTCCCCAGCATCAGCTGAAGCATAAAATAGTTCTTCATTTCTCTCTTGACTGTCCTTCACTCTCTCGTGATTGTTTTATCATTGGTATTACTCATGGTCCGCTATTTAGTGAAGATGATGCTGGAACTATAAATGAAAGGGAAGTGTTTATTAACAAGAAGTTTTCTAGTGAACGTGACTCCAAGAAGTTTAATGTGATGCCTGAAAAGAAACCCCTACCAGCAGATATACAGTCTGCTTTTGTCATACAAATAAAATCAGTATTTAAGTGCAGGCTATGTCCTCGGATTATTTGTTTGACTGAGGATACTTTGCGGAATCATCTTCAATCAAAGGTACTGCATTTTTTCTCTGGTTCGCAATATCCTTATGCATCAGTCTTTACTATTTGTGCTACTACATCCTGAGAAGAAAGTCATAAACTATTAATTATTCTTTCCCAAAAGATCAATTATTACTTTTTTTGTATTCATTGGTTGAAAGTTCAGTAACTGGTTTTATACTTTGTATAATTGAAAACTTGCAGCAAGTTTATTCAATGTTGAGAAAACCACGATAGTGATAAAATTCAATGTTTTTTAAGTCATACCATGAAATTAAGAGAAATAGTGATTGAATGGAGATTAAGAAAAGAGACTCAAGTTACTAAGAATCAATTTGATTTTATGTTGGAAAGGTCGATTATAGAAGCGATTTATCTATTACGGCGGGTGATGGAGCAATATCGAATGGACCAACAAGTCTTGCACTTGATTTTTATTGACTTGGAGAAGGCGTATGATAGAGTTTCTAGAGAGATTATGTGGAAAGCTTTAGAGAAGAAAGGGGTTAGAGTTGCATATATTTGAGCTATCCAATATATGTATGAAAGAGTATCGACTATTGTTAGGACACAGGGTGGAGAGTCAGACGGTTTTCCCATCACAATTGGTTTGCATCAAGGGTCAACCCTAAGCCCCTACCTTTTTACCTTAATTTTGGATGTACTCACGAAACAAATCCAAGAGATAGCGCCGAGATGCATGATTTTTGCATATGATATAGTTCTCCTTGGAGAGTCGAGGGAAGAGTTAAATGAGAGGTTGGAGACTTAGAGAAGACCTTTAGAAACACATAGTTTTCGCCTAAGCAGAAGTAAGTCAGATTATATGGAATGTAAGTTTAACAAAAGAAGCAGGGTTTCTAATTTATAGGTGAAAGTAGAAGACCATATTATCCCTCAAGTCACACGGTTTAAATATTTTGGGTCTGTAATACAGAATGATGGAGAAATAGAAGGGGATGTAAATCATCGTATTCAAGTTGAATGGATGAAATGGAGAAAGGCAGCAGGTGTTTTATGTGATGCAAAGGTACCGCTCAAGCTAAAGGGAATGTTTTATCAGACTGCGGTAAGACCTGCAATTTTGTACGGAACATAATGTTGGGCGGTTAAGAACCAACACATGAAAGTTGGTGTAGCAGAGATGAGGATGTTATGGTGGATGTGTGGTAAGACTCGACAGGATAAAATTAGAAATGAAATTATTAGAGAGAGTGTTAGCGTAGCGCCTATTGTAGAGAAGATGGTGGAAAATAGACTTAGGTGATTTAGGCATGTGGAGAGAAGACTTGTAGACTCTGTAGTAAGGAGAGTAGACCAGATGGAGAGAAGACAAACAATTCGATGAAGAGGAAGACCCAAAAAGACTATAAGAGAAGTGTTGTACTCCAAAATTTGTCCTCTCACTTATCAAGAATTTTCTCACAAGATCTCCTTTGGATTAAGACTGCATTTGGGTTGATCAGCTCAAGGCACCTCCTCAAGCACCGATGACTGAAAATTAGGGTTTGAGATTGCACAAGGATTTTTGAACTTCCAATGTCCCATATGACTTTCATGGATCATTATGGACTCCCAAGATTACTCATGTCAAGTTTCAAGCCTTGGATCACACTTTTGATCAGTCAATTGAACAATTGACCTAAAAATCAGTTGTATTGGGGAAAAAGTCAATCATAGCCAATTTACAGTCAAACTTCATAGTTTTTGATCCACATCAATATTTTAGACTTATATGTATCATTTGATCAAATTTGGACCACAATTCCTCAAGAAATTTGATCAAATCATCAAAAGGGCAAAATGGTCAAAATTAGGGTTTTGACTGAGAAAGGGCAATTTCTGATTTTTGACCTGGCAAATGATCAATTGGTTTAAGGCATGGCCTTAAGAGTCCAATTGCGTCATTTGACCTAGTGACATGATTCAAAACACTACAAGTCCATTGGATTGACAGATGAATTTTTCAGTCAACTAATCAAAACTGTATCTGAAAAGTCAAATTTTGACTTTTTGGTCAAATTCAAGTGCCAAAGGTCATAATTCATCAAAACATGCCAAAATATGAAACTTGTTCATCAAGAAATCAAGAATTCAAGATTTTATTTTGAAAAGATGAAATTTCTTAACTTAGAAAATTTTCTAAGTATAGAAAATTCCTTATTTTTGCACAACTTTGAGCCAAGTTTTCATCATGATGCAAGATGATTCAAAGGAAACTTCCAACATGAAAGTTGTAGATCTCCATGAAATCTACAACTTTGTTTCACACAATTTCTCCTAAGAATGCTTGGATCTCAAGTTATAATTTTGTGAATACATGTTCATGAACTAAAATGACTTAGTGAAATTTTGCCCTAGTTCGGCAGATTTTTGACCTAACTTCATGGCAATTTTTCACATAGTTCCAAGGGTAATCTTCAAAATCAATTCAAAGATGAGTTGTAGAGCAGATTGCAAGCTTTCCAAAATGTCCAAGAACTCTTTGAGATCATTCTTGAGTAGGGAGAATCGAAGAGATGAAGTTGGTGTTTTGTCACTTGGATTACAAGCCATTTTGTGAAGAACATTGGATCCAATCCTCAAGCATGTTGTACAAATCCCACTTTGCAGGCTTCTAACTTGACTTTCACTCCATAATTTATTGTTTTCACAGTTGTTGGAAGCTTTAATCCAAGCATTCAATGCATTGTACAAAGTTAATTCCATTTTGGGAAGAAAGACAACATTGTCATTTTAGAAAAGCAAGCTTTATGCAAAGTCGGCTTGCATTGAGCCTTGCATTTGTTCTTTCCACACAAACACACTCCACACAATCAGAACAGGTGTGTTTAAAGGTCTCAGCCCCCCTACAAGCTCTGTACTTCACCTTGAAACCATGCTTGCTAGCTTTGCTTCAAAAACAAGTAACCAAGCAAAACATGTGAGTTTTTGAAATCTGAGTTATTACAAGTCTTAAAACCTCTTGCTTATAAGTAGACACGCTATTTTGCAAGTTGACACACGAATGCTATTGCCCTGAAACTGCCTCAAACATTCCAAAACCCAAAACCTGTTCAAGAATACCACTAACATACAGTTTTGAACCAAAACTCATGATCTTCATTTTCACTCGTGCGTTTTGAAAACTAATCACTCAAACACCTTCTATACATCATACCAAAGCAATCCAGGCCCCTGTTTCAAGACTGTAGCTCCTCTATCACTATCCACCATTTTCAAAAACCAAGCTTGCAGGTTGACTTTAGTAGAGAGATTCAGGGACATTCAAGGCAAAGTAAGAGTTGGGATACACTCAAGGAGGTCCAGGCAAGCTAAACAGATCCTCAGGCCATCTCAAAAGTTGCTCAAACTCCATTCACGACTCCAGCTACAAGAGGTAAAAACTCAAACTTCTATCTCTTCATACAAGCATCATTTGATCTTGATTTGTGAAAACAAAATGTAGATATCCTTGCTCTAAAGCTAATCATGTTCATAGTTTCCATTTATATTAACTGTGTATAGAGAATTTTGGATTTGAAATTTCTGAGAAAATTAGGTTTCAATTTAGGGCCAGTAAAATTAGATTTTATCTTTGACTTTTAGTTTACATAAGTTATATGGTTGAATTCGTGGGAAGAAACACCACAACTTTCATGTTTAAACTTTCTATTTTTGTGGAGAAATGAGGAAGATACAGGTGGTCCGGCCATGGCTCAAGGTTGAAGATGAAGTTGCCTTCAGAAAGCAGTTTCTAATATATATTTATGGTTGTGTTT